GAGTTCCAGCGTGTCCGAGATTTGCTGAAATGTGGCCGGGTGGCCATTGGTGGAGAGACCGATGAGTGTGACCGTTACATTGGTGAGTATATAGCTTGGGGCAGAGGGAAGAGTAAGGGGAAAATGTTGGAGCTTGGGAAAGGCGGGAAAACGTTTTAAGATTATTATCTAGTAAGCTTTTGGAGAAAACCTATGTGGTCTCAAGAAGTCAAAAACCACTTGATGGCACATAATCAATCAATCAATTAGTAAATTAATCAAGCTTGTTAAAAAGTGCATGGTGAATAGGTATAGGGATGAAATCAGGCTTCAGGTTGGTCCTGAATAAACGTGTTGGACTTTTACTCTGATTGGCCACACAGATTTTGTGTGAGATTTTGAAAGTAGAAGTCCCACAATCTGGCAAGTGTCAGATTGGGAAACTGTTTTAGACAGAGCAAGAAGACAGACATGTTTTCCTGGGTTTGCGTATTGGAAGTGTAGTGCTGGGGAAAACTAAAGCTCTGGTTAAATTGGAGAATCAAGTTATGATAGATAAGCAGAGCAGGTCTTGATGTGATCTTTTGCCATTACAGCTCCCACAGTGCTGGTGGATGTGAAGGCATGGGAGCCCATCATGCAGGAGGAGGTTTTTGGGCCCATCCTGCCCATTTTCACTGTGAAGGATTTGGAGGAGGCCATCCAATTCATCAATTGCGGAGAACGCCCATTAGCTGCCTATGCTTTCTCCTGTGATTGCAAGGTATATTGTTTAGGTTACAGCATACTGTGTCTGGGAGAATCTGGATTATTTCCAATCAGCCTATCCATGATGCCTAAAAGAAAGGAGACTTGCACTATTTTCACAATGTGCTTAGTGGTAAGCTGTGATGAACCATCATGGAAGCAGTTCTTGGCCCGCTGGTAATATAGCTTGGGTGATAGAAGGAAAGCCGAATTGTATCCTTGTTGATTTAGCAATAAGCCTGCGTTAAAAATAACTGACTTATCCACACCTCCACAGTGCAAAGGAAACTACATTAACAGTACTATTTTTAAGGTTCTGTCTTCAAAACATAGCCTCCCTCTCATCCCCAGCCCACTGCTCAGGAGGCCGCAATTGCTCTAAGCTGTTCTGGTACGACAGTGGTCTTTCCCCTTCTATTGCATCAGAAGAGCTCCCAGGCAGACATTCTAGGGCACAAATGTGGGTCTTCTAGGAGATCAGTACTCCCATTGGTGCACCAAAATCAGTTGTGAGACTCTGAACCCCTTGTTCTTGGGGCAGGAGCCTCTGCTTGTGGCCAAATTAAGGAGAAGCAAGTATCTACACTGAAAGTCCAGTAGCCAAGGAGGGCAAAATAAAGCAAACGATAAAAATGAGAACTTGAATACCAACAATGTCCCACCACATGTTCAGGAGAGCAACTGGTGGTGATACTGTGTGAGGGCAGCAATATTGCTGGCCTTGTTGAGCTGCTGTCCTTCCTCCCATCTCAAATGTCCTCCCAGGAACCTGCTGGGTCTCTACACCCTGCCCTACCTTGCAGCATTGGTGCAGCTGTTTGGTAGCTACTTCT